GGAATATGATGATAATGGAACAGAACAGCATTTGTTCGCAGTTCTTCCAAATGCTTGCGGTGGGTTCAAAATGAAGTTGAGATGGCCTTGAATTCTGCACGGATCTTATACGACATGGATAGTGATGATGAGCAGTGGGTTTTGAGAATTTGTAATTCTTCAGAAGCTGGTGATTGCAGCTTGCTTGAAATTTCTGAAGAAATGTTTGAGAAGGCAATGGCCAATGGCCATGTTTGAGAAGGTTGCAAATGTTCAACAGCGTGATAATTTCTCATCTGAAGAAACAAAGGAATCGATGGTTGGAATTGAGCCAATAGCAATCAAAACTATCTATGAGCATTGGAGGCAGAAGTGGCAGAGAATGGGAATGCCTTTAACCCAACATCTTCAGGTGCCTACAGTATTGCATGTCTACCTTCTTTTTATTGTTTTAGATAATAATGACTTAATTTCTATGCTTCTATGTAATGCAAGCCAAAGGAGACTGCACACTTCCCCGGTGTAGATAGCTGCTTGATTTATTGGAACAGGAGTAGGTTAAGGGGTACCTTTCCAGCAGATAGACGCTTTGATTATTGAGCGAAACAAAATGCTGCCAGGATCAAAGGCAGGACGATGATTTCCGGATAGGTTTCCAGATTTCCGGATAGGTTTCCAGATTTCCAGTTTGTTTATTTTGTACTGACTCCTAGAATTTCCTTCAAAATCTCGTCTAGCATTTCCTCTCCTCACATATATATGAATACATTTATATGAATTTATATATAAGTTTTACATATTATATTTATATAAAATATTGACTATTTATTTTTTGATTTTTAATAATTATCATAATTTTGTAGATAAAAAATAATTATTTTAATAGATGTGAATAAATTTCAATAATAAAAAATAAAAAGATAAATAATTGAGATTTGATATAAGTATAATATTTAAGATTTGTATATAAATGAATATGTATTTTATATATATATATATATATATATAGATATAGATGGCCTTTATATGTTAAGAATTGTGTCTTGGGTATTTCCAAGCTGAACAGCGGTTCAAAGCACAGCTCCCAGAGGAGAACTTCGGTTTCTGGGAATATCAATGCGACCTTGGGGGATCATGATGGTTCTCATTCTTTTGGTAGCATCCATCGCCATTTTACCTATACATTCAGCTGTCATTCTCTTTAGCCCCATTACAGTTCCCTCACCACTTTCAGGAAGAAGATCAAATGGGATTTGCTTTTGGGGACGAGCAGTATTTATATCCAGCCTATAACTATGAATCTTTTGATGATTCCCTATTATCTCAGGCATCACCAAGGGTATTTTCACGACCAGATACAGGCAGCATGGGATATTTCTCCATGGCCTATGATGGATTTGATAGGAATCATCACCAGAAACTTCAAAGAAGCAGTTCAAAGAAATTTGGGTCTTTTCTACGTTTTAATGAAATGCAAATGTTGGGTTCCTACAATCAGAGGGTAATGGGCAGGAGAAGGTGGTATCCGGGCTTTTCTGATTGGCCAAGCCAGCGGTATTTCTACTAAGATGACGATTTAAAGCAGGACCTAAAACAGTTAGATGGTTCCGATATCTACGAGTCCAGGCTGAGTGGTGCATCTGCTGCAGCCGGCCATGCACTTAATAATTTAATATGGCAAAGCTCAAGAGAGAAAAGGCACATAGATTGATGTTCCGAGCAGATGCAGCCGTCCACAAGGCTGTGGTTGCTCTAATGTAATGACTACTGATGCAATTAAAGCTTCCTATATATGTGGAGTCTAATGACAACCCAAATGGTGATGAGTAGGATGATGTGGTGCGGAAATTAGTCAGAGCTTTGAGTTGTGCAATTGAAGAGTACTCAAGGCATTGGCATTGCTTTTGCTTGCTGGTTTTACCATTTCTTGTTATGTTTGCCTGGAGCCCTCGTTGAAAGATTCGAGAGGAATGTTCTAACTAGATGAGAGTTATGGGCAAAAACAGAAGCAGCTCTGCACTTGTTCTTCATGTTGTTGTTGCGGTTTAGGTATGGAGCTCTACAGTTTCTCACCGGCTAGTTCTTTTTCCCGCAGCGGGTCAGCACAATGGTTGTATTGATCCTGCGGGTAAGGGTTTGTACGGAATTGGAATTTTGGCTGCCGGTTGTTTTGTACAGATTTTTTGTTAACCTTTTATCCTCAGTCTTTGATAGCGAAGTAGCAGTTGGCCAAAATAATACATCCATTACAGTTTCCCTTCGCCCTGAAACGTTTGGAGCATTTCGTCCATATGTGTGAGTAATTAGTGTCTTTCTCCTAAATTTCAATCGAGATTAGTTAGTGCAGCTCTTCTAAAATATATATTGACATGTTATTTTATTGGCTCTTTAATCGACGAGGCACAAATCGGATGGAAATGACACATGCACAATGATATATACATATATACATATATATATATATATATGTATAATTTGTATATATGATATTGAATACAATGGCCGGTGGAATATCACATTTCATTTTATATTAATTTTTGTATTTTTATTTGAGAGAAATTACAAGTGAAAAATTTATATTTATTTGAGAACATATTTATGGTTTAATAATCATTTTAACTTTATAAAAAAACTTTTCATATTTAAATTTAAAAGTATAGAATTCAAATTTTACTTTAAATATTCAAAAATTATATATATTTATTTATTTTAAACACATTATATTTTTACATTCTATTGTATGTTTAGGATTGTCGTTTTCTTCTCTAACTCCTTACCTTGAATTCACCACATCCATATAAAAAAAGAGAAGAACACATTCATTTGCACCATGATCTTTCTTCATTTGACTTCAATGCGGAGAGCATGTCCAGATATAAAAATCTAATATCTGTCTATCAGCATCAATTGAGTGGCGGCAGCATTGTGCTAGTTGTACCTGGTGATGGCAGGGATGGAGCGTAGATGGTTGGAGTTGCCGGTTCTCACTTAGCTCATCAGCCCGATTTAATCGTTCCTTAATCCGTTCTTTGCTAAGTAAGTCATCCATCAGGATTTCAACATTATGCTTCGTTTCCTATGTTATCGGTGTTTCAGTGTTTTGAATCATATTCACCTTAACATTTTGTACTTGCCCGGTTTAATTCAATAGTCGTTAACACCACCAAATATAAGAAGAATGGTAAAAAATAATACCACGTGATATTTTATAATTAATTTTTTAATAAAAACCATTTATTTAAATCAATATGTATCAATTCCTTATCCTTTTACGTTATATTATATCTTGAATTTAATTTAAGAATCCAAGTCACGCCATACGTGGCAACATTTAATATTATTTAAATTTAGG